TTGAAACAAAATAGCCAATAAAGTTTTCAGGGGAAGCATATATTTAAAAGTAACACAACATTGTCAGTATCAAAGCATTTGATAAAACCAAAGACCCCACTTACCAGGGTAATGACACAATATGTGACAAATGCTACTGGGAAAATTGGAAAGCAGTCTGGCAGAAATTTGGTATAGGCTAGCATTTTACAGCATATGACAAGATAAATTCCAAATTAATATATGACTTATCCATAAAAGGTGACATAAGCAAGTTGAGAGAGTAAGGAAGAAATCACCTTTTGGATTTATGGAGGGGGGAAAATTGATGATGAAACAAGGGATAGAGGGTCACAGACAGTTAAAATGGACAATTTTGATTGTATAAAATACAAAAGTTTCACATAAACAACACCAGTGTAGCTACAATTCTAATTTTAAAATTAGAAACAATTAGAAAAAAAATCTTTGCAGCAAATTTCTCTGATCCAGGATATATATGGAATTGATTAAAATTTATGAGACTAATTGCTGTTTCTCAATAATTAAATGGTCAGAGGACATGAACGGGCAATTTTCAAAAGAAAGTCTATATGAAAAAATGCTCTAAATCACTAATAATTAGAGAAATGAAAATTAAAGTACACAAAAATATAGCAGGTTTTTTCTTTTTTTAAATTAATTTATTTTTAGTTTTCAACATTCACTTCCATAAGATTTTGAGTTATAAATTTTCTCCCCCTCTCTTCCCTTTTCTGTCCCCAAGACAGCATGCTATCTGATATAGGCTCTACATATACATTTATATTAAACATTTTCACATTAGTCATGTTGTAAAGAAGAGTTAGAACCAATGGAAGGAACCATGAGAAAGAAGAAACAAAACAAGAGAGAGAGAGCGAGAGCAAATAATATGCTTCATTTCAGACTCTATAGTACTTTCTCTGGATGTGAATAGCATTTTCCATCATGAGTCTTTTGGAATCGTCTTAGATCCTTGCATTGCTGAGAAGAGCCAAGTCTATCAGAGTCAATCATCACACAGTGTTGCTGTTCAACTTTTTTCAAAGTAGTCAAAAAATGGATACTGAGGGGGTGCCCACCTATTGGGGAATATCTTAAATTATAGTATGTGAATGGAGTGGAATATTATTGTGCCATAAGAAATATTAAAATGGATAGTTTCAGAAAAAAACTATAAAGACCTTTATGAACTAATATGGAATAAAGTAAGCAGAATTAGAAGAATAATTTATATAATGACAATAACATTATAAAGAAAAAACCTTTAAAAGACTTGAGAACTCTGATCAGTTCAATGAAATAACTGTGCCAAAGATGAAGAGTGGCCACCCACCTCTTAACAGAGAAGCTGATGGACTCAAAGTGTTTGGACGTGGCCAGTTGGGGAATTTATTTTTCTTTACTGTGCACATTTGCTGTAAGAGTTTTTTTTCTTTTTTCTTTTTCAGTGGAAAGAGGTAGGAAGCAGGCAAAGAAGAACTAATAAAATCTTGATTATTAAAGGAGAATAAAAAAACAAAGTACCAGACAGATACTTTTTTACAGCCTGCAAACTTACTTCTAACAAAATTGTTAGAAGGAAGAAATGTGGCAGAAAACTGGAGGTGGGAAGAAAAAACCCAACCGTGGACAGAGATATACTGAGATATACTTAGAATGACTTTGTATTGCATCAAAATGCTATTTTGGAAGATGAAGAGTTGAGAGTGTTAAGGAACAGAAAGAAAAAAAAAGTTAACAAAAGGAAGATAGATTTTTTCCTAAAGAGAGGCTTGTACATCTATTTTACACCTGTTTCTCTTGCTGACTACATAAAGATGAGCTGAGACATCTTTATGGCTAGTAATCTTTCAGTAAAGGTATAGAAGAGCTTCCAGTTACAGGAGCTGGGATCCCAATTAAGTAGCTAGGTTCAAGCTTTAGTCAACTTTAACAAGCATTGTGAAACATAAACCCAACACAACAGAGAATAATGTTGGAAATTATGGTCCCATGTCCTTAAATTCAATCCCTGGGGGCCCAAAAATCAACTCATTATTTTCCTCCCCCAAATCCACGCCTCTTCCAAACTTGCCCACTTCTGTTAAGCGTATAGCCATCCTTCTGATCTCTCAAGTTCACGACTTCACCATCATGCTTGACATTTAACTCGCTCTCCCTCACTGCACATAATCTAATCTAGTTGCTACATCTCATAGTTTCTGCCTCCATAACATCTTTTGCATCCATCCCTTTCTTGCTGCTCATATGACTACCATCCTGACTCAGGCCCTCATCACCCCTCAACCTGACAATGGCAGTTAGTCTCTTTCCTGCCTTAAATCTCTTCTCCCTTCCAATCCTTTGTCCACACAGCTGCTGGAGTAATTTTCTTAAGGCGGAGATCTGATTGTATTGCTGCTCCACTCAGTAAACTCCAGTAGCTTTTTGGGTCAGTCCTCCTCTGATATTTACAACCTGGCTTCATTTTTCCACTGTAGTGGAAAGAAATGAGGACTTGAATGTTCCAGTTCTGCCTTGGCCCCTAACCAGTTATAGAATAGTTAGCTAATTTCCTTAGGGCTGCTCTTTTTTTTTTTTTTTTCCTTAAGTTAAGGAGTTGAATTAAGATTATCTGTATCTAAGGTTCCTTCCAGCTCTAAAATTAGTATGAATCTATATTTCCCCTTAGCTTTTTTTTTTTTAATTTTTAATGATCATAGTTTTTGTGACCTTCCTTTTAAGTTTTAGTTTCTTTTTCCTCTAAATCAGGGTTTGACAAGCCAGCTTGCCTGCTCATGAGCCAAGAACAGTTTTTACATTTTTAAATACAATAAAATTTTATTTAAGATATGTTTAAAAAAGCCAACATGCTTAGCTCTTGGTTTTGGTACAAAAGCAGCTGTCCCTGCTCTAAATTATTAGGGTTTGGGGGCTTTAAATTTCTTATAGACAGTAACAAAAATTCTTGCCAGATCTTTGCATGACATCTTCTGCTGTAGACTTTCAAAGGTAGGGCTGCTTTGTTCTCTTTTCTCTTTGTATTCCAAAAGGACTTCCAATTAGACAGGATATCTCAGGCTTTCTCTGGTAGATTCTTTACAATTGCAAAAGCAACCTTAGTATTACCTTATAAATGCTTTAAGTACTATGATAGACATGTGGGTATTTGCTTTGTATCAAAGATCTGTTCATGAATAGCCTGAATAGGGTTTAATTTCTAATCCATTCTAACTGTACTGGGCTCTGTGTAAATGTAACAAAATATATACTATAAGAAAGATTGATAGGAGCAGGAACCACTTCACTGAGAGATTTGTACATCCTGCAGTCTAAGGGGGGCCCAGTTCCCATTTAGAGTAGTGTAGAGCAACCCACAGCTTCACCCCTTCCAGGGAAGGCACTGAAATACTGTCTGGGAATTAAGTACACACATCAATCAAACTTACAAGCCCTTTCCCCAGTTAATATATAATAAAATATTTACAAAGCTAAATCAAATGTTTTTAGTTTAGCTGTATAAGTGGAATGCAATTTTGAGGTCTGTTGCATAAAGAAATCCAGTTCCCCAGCAGAGGAGCAAATGAATGGGAAATGAGGATTGGGAGGGCGGGGTGCAGCTAGTGAAGGACACTGGGAGGTGATTTATCCGTTAGCTGTGGTTTTTTAAGGTAAGCACAGTGGCTTTCGTTTTTAAACAACTGGATCATAGAACCTTTCCTAAGAAATAAATGTCTGTTAATATCAGTGATTGAATTTGAATAGTAGTAAAGGATCTTTCTTGGACTGTGAGCCATTTGTAGTAATGTGGTGCGTTTTAACTAACACTTGGGCATGGTAATAGCCCAGTATTGGTTTTTACTTAATGAAATATTTAATCACAAAGGTCCGAATTCTGCATCTCCCACAGGAAGGTAGTCTTGAGACCACTGACAAAAATAATTTAGCAATTTGATAGTTGAGTGCTTAATTACTAGAAATTGTTAAGGAAAAGATGTGATGAATTCTTAAATGGTGAGCATACTAAATAACTTAAGTAAATGACTCAAAATAACTTAAACTAGTAAACTGGTTAAAAGCTAGTTAAGAAATCAAATTCTAGCCCCCCCCAATACATGTGTATGAATGTGATTTTAGAAAGGCGGCTACTGTCATTACCGTTTGGGGAATGGAGGGGACCATATCTGAGTGCCCTTGATTGGTTGAAGTTTTTCATCTCAGTATTGGTAGTTAGGATCTGTGGTTGAGAGTAGGATTTAACTATCAAACTGATAATGGGGCCCTCTCTCACCTTATATGTTTGGTTCCAGGGTATCAAGGTAGAGGATTATAACTTTAGATTGCAAATTCAACCCTAGGAAAATATATAGGTGGCATATAATGTTACTACTATAATGTTAGCAATTATAGGATTAAAAAGCATTAAGAAGATGCAGGAAGAAATAAGGATTAAACTTGAGATCATAAAACGAGATTTCTTTTTTAAGCATTTAAAAAATCTTTCTGAATAAGAAGAAATTGAATCATGTAAAAGAAAAACTCAGTTCACAAGTGCTTTTAGGTATTAGTCAAAGAGGTTACTAAAGCAAGAAAAATTATATTAACTTATAAAAGGCTTGTGAACCTCTGCATATACCACTCAGCAAAGACTGAAACTACACATCTTATTCCTAACTAAGTTAAGCTTTCTTCCTTGAGTAATCTCTTTGAATTCCAGTTCCCCCAACTCTTTCTTTGGTGATGTAACTCAACTGTCTGAAGCCACTAAAGGCAAAAGGTTGAAGCAATCCCCAGATAAATAATCTATCACCTTTCTTCAAAGCATCCATGACTGTAATCCATAGCAATCTTTTCTTGTGAAACCTTTGTGTATTCCTTTAATGGACAGTAAGATGTTAAATGTTAATAAAGAGTTATTTATTTCTCTAAGTAAAAAAAAAAATCATTGTCTAGCATTGTAATCTAGCATTGTAAAACTGTGCTTAAAATCAGTTTGCATTTTTTCCTTCTTTTTCTAGGCTATTACTGAATGGTGCTCCTCTTATAGCAATACACAAAGCCAGATATTATAAGAGGAAAGATGGCTTAGCCCTGGGACCTGGACCATTTGTTACTGGCTTGGAGTATGCCACGGACACCAAAGCCATAGTTGTTGGGAAACCAGAGGGAAAATTTTTCTTGGAAGCTTTGCGTGGCATTGATTGTACACCAGAAGAAGTCATTATGATCGGAGATGTAAGTAAATGTCCCATGATTGTTCCAGTACATCTAGTTAACTGGTTTAGAATAACTACTTTAGGAAAGCAAATGTTACCACTGGTCTTATATATATATAGTAATAATTCAAGTTGTTGGCATAATTAAAATAATGTAAAATATTTATTGACCCAGAGTAGTTTTTGTCTTATTGACAGATGGTTTTCAGAACCTAAGTTTTGAAGCTTTCTAATAGTTCCAAAGATGATAAAGCACATATACACATATGTCTGCATGTGTATATTTATATTTAATATATATTCATATACATAATATATATGTATTTTAAGTGCTTTGTTGTAAGCCTTCAAAATTATATAAATATCAGTCGTTATTAAAAATCTTGATTTCCGGTTGATAAATGGTCAAAGGATATGAATAGGCAGTTCTAAGGAAGAAATACAGACTATCAAATGCCATATGAAAGAATGTTCCAAGTCACTAATAATTAAAGAAATATACATTGAAGCAACTTCGAGGTTCCACCTTACACCCATCAGATTGGCAAAATTAATAAGAAGAAAGTGACAAATGTTGGAAGGGCTATGGGAAAACAGCCACATTAATGCACTGTTGAAGCTGTGAATTAGTGTAGCCATTCTGGAAAACAGTTTGGAAGTGTGCCCCAGAGTTACTAAATATATTTTTAAAACTTGAAAGACTCTTATGGAAGCGATCCTGGGTTCTAGTAAGAATAACAACTGATGTTTGTCTAACATTACCAACTTACAAAGCGCTTCGCCTGCATTTCCTCATTCAGGCCTCATAGGAAGTCTGTGGGGGGCCAGCAGAGCACAAGCTCCGGGTGGCAGGTTATTGTCAATCTATTTGGCCAAGTATCAGCCTTCATAGATTCAGAGAAACACATCATCTCCAGAAGTTTGACTACCAAGTGATAGGATTTTTCAGCCACAGCAGTTATTAAAGACCATCTACTAAGAGTTTTTAATTGCATTGTGAAGGGGCAAAATAATGGATCCTTGAAGTATCGTGAAATCTAATTTCTGCATAGAACATCCTGTAATAGTTCTTTACAGTTTACAAAATACTTACACTCTCATTTTATGTTCATAATTATCTTGTGAAGTAGGTGAGGTATGTGGCACTGTCTTCATTGTGCAGATGATGAGTCCAGAGCTTAAATACAGGTCCTAATGTTCTTTTTAGAACATTGCGGATTAACATCTTCATCAGACCCTGGTATATCAGTAGCAAATAGGGGTAACCCAGTTTTGAATCATAGAATTGTAAGAAATTTTAGAGTTCATCTATTCTACTATATTACAGATAAGGAAACTGAGTCAAGTGATGTTAAGTTCCTTGTCCAGTAATTAATGGCAACACTGAGACCAGAAGCTCACACATTATTTGGTTTCTGATATGGATAAAATTACTTTCCAAAGTCACTTGAAGAGTTGGGATTTTAATTCTCACTTTCTCAATTCTGAGTCCTCCATTTTCTGAATTCTGCTATTTATTACTGAGTTGTAGAATCATATAACCTGATGATAGGATATGAAGGCTGATACTTTAGAAGCCATGTTTTTATACTATTCCCCTGCCTCTAGAATTGAACTACATTTAAACTATACCTAGAAAGCAAAAACCTGTCCTGTGTTTTAATATTCTCAGGGAAGGAACGTTTTTAATGTTCTGATATTTTCCAAGAAGGAAAGTCTCTATCCTCTCATAGAAAACACATCATGTGAATCCCAAAGCTGTGTGTTGGAATACCTGCCTTCAAAATCTTAACACAGTTAGTGACTATTGTGTTACCTTGGCTTACTAACTTTAGAAGCTGAAAAAATGGGAGGAACACTACTTTTCCATTTCCTGTTTTAATGTGAAAAATGGTATATATTTCTGAAAGTAGAACATTTAAATTGAGTAAATATGTTCTCTGTGCCTCAGAAAACAGTTTTGTTACTGTAATGCCTATTCCAGTCCTTAAACATTTTCCCCACAAATGGGGAACACAGCTCTGCTTTCAGAATACTAGCTGGGAGACTACTTTGTCTTCCAATTTTCTCACTTTTTGTGGAGGATGATGGAATTACAGTAGTCATTATATATGAAACGTAAATCATACCTCATTTCATTTATAGCTGCATGGAAATGAGTACTTGCACTTAGCCATACTGATCTTCATACTAGTTGGTATATTGTGGGGTTTTTTTCTGTGTTGACTTTTTGCTGGTAGATGCTGGTGTGTTGACTGGTGACTAAATTAACTCTGTGTTATGTTTCCCAGGACTGCAGAGATGATGTTGGTGGAGCTCAGAGTATTGGCATGCTAGGTATCTTGGTGAAGACTGGTGTGTATCTTTTACTTCTGCCTGCCCTCCTAGGCAATACCATAGGAAAAACAACCACATTGGATCCAAAAACTCCCTGTTTGCAAAAATGGCAAAGCCTTCTGGAGAACTTAATTTTCCTCATGCCTCCAGTTAGAAGTAAAATGCCCTGAAGTTCCTAGTGGTCAGAAGCCTGTAGGGAAAGGACCTGCATTTACCACTGAGGTTCTCCATGGTACTAGGAACTTCATTGTAATGATAGCTGTGAGATCTGCATGCATTCACTCATTTACATACAAAATTCAGCCTGTGCTTTCTGGACACCTCCAGTGCCTTCTCAGGTTAATTAGATCAATTTACCACTGGTTACAGTGTTTTGTACTATATAGTGACAGCATAATCATTCCTTTAATTCGTGTACTACACACACACACACAAACACACACACGATGAAGCCATCCCATTTGGCAGCTGGCCATTTAAACAAGCTAATGTATAATATTCAGCATTCCTAATATTAGCACTTTCTCAGGTTTCTTTTTGCCTTTCAGCCTGTTTATGATTAGTAAAGAAAAGGTTGGGGAAACAGTAGGAATTGAGGTGCTTGAGATCCAGGTATCACAAATAATCTGGTTTCTCAAATACAGTTTTCCTCTATAGAACATAATTGACTAAAAGCCATTTGTGGATGAAGAAAAACAGGCAGTAGAAAAGGCCCAGTAATTTATCTTTATATCCTATTTTATTGAGAATTAATGAATTTAGCAGAAAGTAACCAGAAAATCTGTCAAAGAATTGTCATCAAAGCCAAGCTGTGTGTTAATGTTTCCACAGCCATCCTAGAGGATAGCTGTGCTGTTTGCTTAGTTACATGAAGTGATAATAAGACCACTTAATATGACTGTTCAAACGAAAGAAGATTTAAAATATACAAGTCCTTCAAAGTCACAAATAGAATCTAAGAACTGGAGAAGCCACATTGGTCCCAATGTGAGGGAAATGGATTTTGTTCAAGATGCTCTTCAGGCCATTGCATCTGCATTCCAGTATTCAGAATCACCATTCTGCCAAGGATTGAAAAGTGTGTAGGATGTGTTTTTGCTCTGCTGTTCAGTAATCTGAGATTGACTTACAGATTATTCCTAACAGTAGCCCTGGATCTTCTCCAAGGTCCTCCTTGCTTCCAGTGTAGGGAACTGGTCATTGGTGTTATGATTGCTCCATTTTATTTTGTTAGTTAATCCCAATTATGTGCACCTTTCCGGCAGTGGCATTCTTGCCCCCTTGGCCTCTTGTTTAACTTTTTCAGAGAGGATGGAGTAAAATGTCTAAATTCGTGATCTTGCTGTCTTTTACACATTCTTGCCTCTTGCTGTTTCATTTCTTAGTAACTTAGGAATCCCCACATGTCACATCTGCCTTTTTGTACTGTGCGCCTGGATGTTCTTATCCAATAATTCCAGGTTGGATGCGGTGACCTCTGAGGTCCCTTCCAGCTCTACATCTGTCATCCTGGGGTCCCGTAATCCTGCAATTGAGGGTTGACTAAAAGGGCCTGAAATGACCCTATTGCATTCCTTCCCTGGCCAGGCTCCGTAAGTGGAGCCCCGAGTTACCACAGACGTTGAAGGAAACATTCTGTTACTTGTGGCTTTCTACAGAGGAGTTCAGAGGTTAGCCAGCGGAGAAGCAAAGTACTCTGAAAGGATTCCTGTTTTAGGATTGAAGAAATTAACTCCTGCACGTGGAAACCTGTCACAGAATCTGAAGAGTTATAGGAGATCTCAGCTGATCATTTAGTTCAAACCCTACTTGAAAAAGGAATTCTTTTTTTTTTTTTTTGGCTAGGCAGTGGGGTTAAATGACTTGCCCATGGTCACACAGCTAATAAGTGTTAGGTGTCTGAGGCCAGATTTGAACTCAGGTCCTCCTGAATCCAGGGCTGGTGCTCTATCCACTGCGCCACCTCGCTGCCCCAAATTTTGTTTTTGTTTTTTTTTTGCTAGGCAGTGGGGTTAAGTGACTTGCCCAGGGTCACACAGTTAGTAAGCATCAAGTATCTGAGTCTGGATTTGAATTCAGGTCCTCCTGACTCCAGGGTGGGTGCTCTATTCACTATCACCTAGCTGCCCCTAACTTGATTCTTTTTTTTTTTGTTTGTTTGTTTTTGTTTTTGCTAGGAAATGGGGTTAAGTGACTTGCCCAGGATCACACAGCTAGTAGGTGTTATGTGTCTGAGGTCAGATTTGAACTCAGGTCCTCTTGAATCCAGGGCCAGTGCTATCCACTGCTCTACCTAGCTGCCCCTTGAAAAAGGAATTCTAACTGCACCTTATCAACCAGTGGCTTCCCAGCCTTTGCTTGAAGACTTCCAATGAAAGAGAACCCACTACTTCCCAAAGTAGCCCACCCTGCTTTTGGAGAGTTAAGATCCTAACCTTATAGGATATGAGCCCTGAGACCTTCACAGTCTTGGTCACCCTTCTCTGGACTCTCTCCAGCTTCTCACTGTCTTTCCTGACCCAAACATAACAGTCCAGATGTAGTCTGACCAGGCTAGGCTACAGCCCAACTGGAACCTTCTCATTTCTTGACTATCTGTCTCTTAATGTAGCTTTACTCTGCATACTCTCTCTCTCCCTCCCTCCCTCTCTCTTTCCCTCTCTTTCTTTCTCTGTCTCTTTCTCTTTCTGTCTCTCTGTCTCTGTCTGTGTGTCTCCCTCTCTCTTTCCCTCTCTTTCTCTCTGTCTCTTTCTCTTTCTGTCTCTCTGTGTCTCTGTCTCTCTCTCTCTCTTACCATATAAATGTTGATTCTAAAAGAGCAAGGAATTATGGGAAAAGGCAGGTTCAGAACAGAAAAAAAGGAGATAGAGAACAACTCACATTTACATAGTATTTTATATACAGTCTCTCATCCCACAACCATGAGAGGGAGGTGATAAAAAATGATTCCCATTTTTACAAAGGAGGAAACAGTGATTATAACTTTTTTTGATCCTGATTTAAAAGTAATCATTCAATGTTCATTCTTGTCTTTACAGTAAATGGAAGGGGGGGATGGTTTTGGCAGCTACAGAAATTTTAAATTGCCATAAAGCATTCCAGTAGCTGTGTCATCTGGCACAGTTCAGTGGCTCTGAGAATGTTGAACCTGAGGCTTTTTTGAACTCCCTGCTAGTCCCATAAAAGCTTCTGTAGGAGATGGTCACCTTCTGGTTCTCCAGGGGTTGGGAGAAAAGGTTCTATGATGACCCAGGTGCTCTAGGACCGGGATTAATTTAACATCCAAAGCAACTGCCTTTGTTTGCTCTGTTTACTTTCATTTCAGGGAAATACCGAACAGCAGATGAAGAGAAAATTAATCCAGCTCCTTACTTAACCTGTGAGAGTTTCCCACATGCTGTGGACCACATCCTACAACATTTACTATAAGAAAGGAGAGCAATATGAAACAACTTGAAATGTAACTTTTTATTTCCCGGAATGCGTCTTTAAAAACTCATTGGGTTCGAATACATAGAAACAGGCATTATCACGTGATAACCCTCCTTTGTTGTACATTAATTAGAGGGAAGGGTATTGAACTTTAGCCAGTTACTAAGCCTTACTAATCCTAACTCTCTTGTTTTATTTGGTAAATATGATAAGACCTAAAGAAACAAAAGCAGAAATTCTGTGCCATTCCTTTTAAAATATTCATCAGATTAGGCAGTCCTAGGAGAGAAAATCCACCATAGGGATGGTGTTCTGCTTGTCTTTTAACTGTTACTCTCGGAGGGGGGAGTATTCAGCGTGTGAATAAAGTTGAATCGGTTTTTTAAATTATAAAACAATGTGTTAAAAGGTGCATCAGCCTGTAGTTGTAGTATTGATTGCAACTGTGAAATCCATCAAATATTTTAAGCAAATGAAACATGTAGGAAGTAAAATGAATTATCCCTTAGACCAAGCAATCAAGTGAATTTGCTTTAACGAATGATGAAAACTAGATTATCTGCTATATTATTCCCATCATGGGTGACTTTTTTTTCTCTTCATTAGCCAGAAATGACTAATTTAAATTTAGAGCCTGATTTTAATTTAAAATAATATTACCATTAATAACCTATTCATTGCAGATACCTATTATACTGTGTAACAGTTGTTTTGGAAATTTTATGTAAAATTAAAACTATCAGTATTTTACAGATGTTTTAATTAGACATTGTTATTAACAGGAACAGTGCAGAAACTAAAATCAAGCCTTTAATGTCTTATAGACCATGCATTTTTGAAGTTACTGTCCACCAGGGTCCTATTAACTGTACATTTGTAAGATTTCATTATTTTTCCTTCTAACACTATGGGAAAAATCTTTTAGAAGCTACTGGGACATATTCAAGCTTTTATGTACTTGGTTAGTACAGCTGTAAAATGAAATCCTGTCATTTAGCATGGATCATTCTTCTCATGTTAAATCCACCAAAATGAAGGGGCCTAAGCTGGTAATGATTTCCCTATCACATTTGCATACTGTGATAATCCTGGTCCTTTGCAGTTGTTGTATTGCGCTCTTGGGCATTAAATTATTAGAATGTAATTGTACATCATCATAGCATTCACCTTATTGAAACTCATTGGTGTTAATGAGCTGTGTGTTTTGGTACTTCAGTGAGTGTGGTTTTGGAAAAGGCTGTGTTGAAATGGTTTGTATCTCTCCTTTTCCACAGGCCACCAAACACTGTTTCAATATCACAGACCAGAGAAGGCCTGAATTCAAAAAGCATAAGATAGGGACACAGACAGAAATCAGAGCTGCCTAGATCTTCCTCCATGTTTTTGGAACTGCCAATGTGGTTGTTCTCCCCTTTGGACTGATTTCACTCTGCTTTAAAAGTAGGAGAAACACTGTTCAGAGAGGAAAAAGCTCTGAGCCTCAGTCTGGATTTCCCATAGTGTGTGTGTCATCACCAGGGCCGCCTGCAATTAGTGGGTGGAGAGAGGGAATCTTATTCATGATCTTCTAATATTTAGAATATACTTTACAACCAAATGAGACAAGCAGGAATTGTGCTTACTCCTATTACTATTTCAGTGGGGGAAAAAACCCAAAACTTCTCTAAGGGTAAGTCATTCTGAGTAGGGTTCCTAATAATTGCAGCTGGTTTTAGGCACATTCCAGCACAGATTCCTACAAGATTTGCTACTTTGGCTGTGAGCCTATAAGAACCTGATTCTTACTACCTGGCTTTTTAACCCCAGTTAAGTAGTTGAATACTGTTAAATACCCAGCTCCATGCTAAGTACTTTAGGGAATACAGAAAAGTATCCTGCTCTTGGGGATGAGTAGGCAAGACTAACACGAAATAATTAAAGCAGAACCTAAGCCAGCGTAAGTGATGAATTTTGCGGTATAGTCAACAAAGAATTGTGTATATTCAGAGAAGGGTGAAAGTATGGGTTGAGTGGTTAGGATCTGAAGCACTGATAAAGTTGTAGCTCTTATGAGGGGAGGGCTAGGCATGACATGACATAGCTGTCTCTATTGGTTTTTGAAGAGCTTATTCCTATACTTTTCTGAAAAGAACATGCTAAATATGAGCTGTTACCTGCACGTTCATTATGAACGATATGCAGAGCAGCTAACTGCCATTCCCACTGAAGAAAAGGCCAAATGTGAGAAAAAAACAAACTAGAAAAATATTTTGGTGAGGAGATAGATACCAAAGGACATTCACAAGGGTGGCCATCATTTTTGAAGACTCTTAAGGTTTGAATAAACTGATATGTTGACACTTCCCCATAACCATTCCTTTTAGAAAGGGATTCAGTACTTGGTCTGTCTTGGGGCCTGTCCAGTGACAGAGATCCTGGGTTCTGATAGTTGTCAGTTTTTGTATAATCTTACCAGGGCCAGGAAGTGGGAGCAAGTAGATGGCAATTTCATGAGATTGTGACCTTGACAGAAATTGTACTTTCACATTTTTCACATTTATCTTCTGAGACCAGTGAGTGCTTCATATGTTTTTGTTAAAACAAAATTGAATTTTGAGGTCCTTTGTAGGGCTGAGCCTTTGTTACCTGGGTCTTTAATGTGCCCAGAGTAGATGGGTGCTGAGAAATTTAAGAATTGATAGAATGTTTGGCATCATCTAGGTATCATTAAAAGCAATGATTTTCAAATCCCCAAGTTGCTGTGCTGTTCCCACTTCACTTTTGAGCTTATATGTACACATATGTATAAGCTTATGTGCATCTCTAATCAAAACAAACCTCACAGCTTGTTTGTATAGGCTACCCACAGATACACACAGACATGCATGCACGCGCGCGCACACACACACACACACTCACACACACACACAACTTCATTCTCCCTCTAGAAAGTTAGAGGAAAAGTAAGATAAGTAGTAGGTTTGAGGAGGCTGCTTCACTTAATTTATTAAGATTATAGTTTTACCAAGCAAGTATTAGGAGCTTTTAAATTCCTTTGGAACTCTTCTTGTGCAGCCCCTCTAGGGATTTATTACTGTTATTTCCTCTCAGTGAGACTGAAGGTTGGTCTAGATATTTTCCTTTCCTTCTTTATCTCTTTTTCTTGGAACATGACTAATGAAGGGATTTGTTGTGCATGATTATACCTATTGGCAATGGACTTTGTTTTTCTTGCCTTCTCAGTGCTGGGGGAGCAGGGGAGATAATTTTGAACTGAAAATAAATAAAAATGTACGAACAATAACTTTAATTCCATTGTTTGGTTTCAGCTTTGGGCCATCCTACAAGTCTTAAAATCCTTAGGCGGCTACAATAGAGAATTATTAATAGTTTGAGCAGTAAACTTAATTCACTAAAAATAACTGCCTCTAGCAACAAACCACACTTGAACATTAACATTTGTTTGCATAGGGCATACTTGGGCTCTACTTTGCATGTCAAAAGTTGCTAGCCATTTATGGGGACCCCCTGCTGACTTGGAAGAATCTGAGTTGGAAGAACCTCTGAGGTCATGCAGCCCACCCTCCCTTTACCAAGAAGAGTCATCTGGCCCATGCTGGAGAGCTCTACTGAAGGGAAGCCTACCACCATGTACCATAGCTGATTATTAAGCTTTTTGTCTGCATCAAGCCTAAACTCTTGAGCCTAGCTGTGCTTTCCAAGGTAAAACAGAAGTCTGATCCCTCCAACCTTTGAAAACAGTAATGTCTGCTGTAAGTCTTCCCCAGGCTAAATTTCCCCAATTCCTTCACGTTTGTAGGCATTAACAGATGAAGGCATGCTGCCCCCAGAAGATTACAATCCTAGGGCTTTAACAAAGCTATCGGAGCACTTCAGATCGTTTTAATTAAGACTAATCCTAATTCTGAATACTTCAAAATTTACCTTCATACTATCTTGGTCTTCCTTGCCATCTGTTGCACTAGGATGGTGTCAGTGAGAGAAGACCAAGAGGTTGGAGAAGCTTCATAATACAGTGGAAAGTCAGAAGATAGGAATGGGGGTTTCTGGGCAGAGATACTGAAGTGGTTTGCCATTTCCTTCTCCAGTTCATTTTACAGATGAGGAAACTGAGGCAAACAGGGTTAAGTGACTTGCCCAGGGTCACACAAATTAGTAAGTGTCTGGGGCTTGATTTGACCTCAGGGCCAGCACTCTATGAGGTATGTGCCACCTAGCTGCCCAGAGAACACTAATAGTAATTAATAAAGTCAGAATTAGGATCTAGGCCCTGTGATGCCAAATCATGTTCTCCATTGTACCACACTACTTCTCCAATAATGGACATTCATATAGTCCTTCACAGACAACACCATTTAATCCTTAGGACAACCATCCTACCATCAAGTAGGTCAGAGATTAAAATCACTTGTCCACACCACTAATAAGTCTAACACACTATCCACTACAACACACTTGTGTGAAGATGGAATTCTTGATAGGGGCAGTATATGTAATATCTTGGAGGTGGGAGATGATGGTTACCTTAATAAATATCTTAACCTGTTACGACAGGCAACCTTACCAATACTCAAAACAGCCAAACACTAACATTAAAGTGAAAAAGGTGCTTCCTTGTGTGATGCAAATTCCTGTGATAAAACTCATGTGTTTACTCATAAGAGTTATAGGTATACAGTGTTAGGGCCTTAGAGGTCATCCAGACTGGGATTCTTAACCTGGGATCCACAGAACTCCCAAGGGGTCTGTGAATTTGGTTGGAGGAAAAATGGGATCTGGCTTTCTTTGTAATCTTATATCCTGCATTTTATGTGTTTAAAAACATTATCCTGAGTAGGGATCCATGATACAAAAGAGGTTAAGGACCCCTTATCTAATCCAACTCCTTTATTTTACAAATAGTCCCGGAGAGGGAAGTGATTTGCCTCTGGTCATAGCTATACTTGGAGCCAGAGGTAAAACCTGGATCTAAGTCCAGTGCTGTTTGCACGTGCAATCTCAAATCCAGTGATCATAATGATAATTTACTTCAAGATTTACAAGGTGCTTTTTTCACTCCAATACCATGAGGCAGACAGTCTAACTGTTATCTCCATTTGGCTGATGAGGGAATCAAACACAGAATGTTTTACTCGAGGCTACCCAAGTAGTTAATGACAAAAGTGGGGCCCAAATCCAGCTCTTCTGACTATCTGCTGTGTTGTTTCCCCTAAACCCGGTCTCCTCACTTCAGTGAAGTTTAGAAGTCTTTTGGGATAGGTATGATCTAGGTTTGGGTGTCTCTTTTAAGAAGTGTGTCCCCAGGCCAGGGGGGAGGGAGGGGAAGAGGGGGAAGTGGCAGCTAAGTGGCTCAGTGGATAGAGCTCCAGTCTTGGAGTCAGGAGGACCCGAGTTGAAATTTGACCTCAGGCACTTGGCACTTACTAAATGTGTGACCCTGGGCAAGTCACTTAACCTCTATTACCTCACCAAAAAAAAGCAAAAAAAAAAAAAAAACAAGTGTGTCACAGGAAGTGTAGAGATCAATATTACAGGGAAGAATGTGAGGATTGGGTTGGTCCCCAGACCAAAATGAGCAAATTGTTTTTAAAGGGTTCAGATCCAATTTCATAAAGTTTTTAACTTTTAAAATCAATGTCATTTAATTAATTAAGTTAATGTCCTTTCACACCACAGTAATTTAATGGTAGGCATTCTCTAGTTGTGAGATCCTGCTATTTAGCATCTTGTCTTCTTGTTTCAAGTCTGGACAGGTCAGTTGAGATTGCTAGGCTCCAGAGGGCAGAAATAGGAACAAGGAAATTTCAAAAAGGCAAATGTAGAGCTGACATAAAGAAAAGATTAGACCAACCCAAAGTAGAATAGCCCCCCTCAGGAGACATGGGTTTCCCCTCATTGGAGGTATCCAGGTAAAGGCTAGATGACTACTTGTTGGATAGAGAGAATTCCTGTTCAGCTTTAGGTTAGAATGAAAGGCTTCTGGGGTCCCTTTCAATTCTGTGTGATTTTACAACACTTTCAATACTTAGAGTCGTGGCAATTGACAGGGGTAGGAAGTGTTACAGTCGGGCCTTACCTGTTTGGTGAGACTAAACATAGTGACACACCAAATGTAAGGGGGGAAGAGGAAATTCCAAATGTGAGGAGTTAGGCAGATTGTACCAACCAAAATGGTTCAGAGTTGGTTAGTCAAGAATTTTGATACTGTGAGTTCTGGACATCTGACCTTCAGCTTAATCTGTTAGTCACTCAAGTTTGCCCTCTTCTTCATGTTCCATATCAATTAGTTGCCAAATCCTATGGATTTTACCTCCACAATATAGGAGGGGATAGGAATCAAATTAAAAAAAAAAATAATCAGCAAACGCGAACATCTCCACATAATGGAAGGAAGGGAAAAAAGGAAAGAGCTAGTTGGACTAACTAACCAACACAGTACACCCATTGGTTACGGTGATGTAGGTGTGAGGCGCTGAAGACAAACCTGAAACTTACTACCCGATGCTATCAGTCTGGTTGCCTCGTTGCTTGGGTGGTCTTAGTTGCTAATCACAGGATTTCAGAATTGAAAAGGACCTCAGACGCCATCTAGTCCAACCCATAGATAAACAAGAATGTTTTCCAACATCCCAAAAGAAATGATCACCTAGGCTTGGCTTAAAGTCTGGTGTTCTGGAGACCTGCCTCTAGAAAACAGTCCATCCCTGTTTGATGTAGCTCTAATCATTAGAGGAAAACTTCCTACATCAAGCCTGAGTCTGCCCCTCTACAGCGTCTACCCATTGCCCTAATTTAGCCCTATAAATCTATCCTTTTTTTCACACAACAGGCCTTAAAGATACTTAAAAGGTATTTGTCCTGTCTCCCCAAGTCTTCTGTTCTCTAGGTTAAAGATCTTCAGTGCCCATATGAAATGATCTTGAGACCCTTCCTTCGCTGTGCTGATCATCTTTTAGCTTACTGGTGTTCTTCATAAAATGTGGGCTTCCAGAACTGAGCAGAATATTCCACATGTGGAATGGTTACTGGGCGACAAAGCTAAAGATTCAAACATAAATCTTCTATCTCCAATTCCAGTGTCATTTCCACTAGGCCACATTGCCCCCTCAACCTCCTCAAATCCTCCTGCTCCACCTCAGCCCCCCAGATAGATAGTCATACCCTTCATCTTGCCATCATCCACCACTGTTCTACTTCCATGTTCAAGAACTCTGAAATTCAACAGCTTTTCATCTTTCCCTGTGCCTTATGAGCCTGGTCTTCATCCTCCCCAGGACCTCCATTCCTTCAGTTTTTTCTGAGGTCATCACCCCTGTGCTAGAAACACTTTGCTCTTTTCTCTTAGCCCTTTAGTGAAACACTTTAATTCTATGTTCTCGTCTGTTCTTGAATCCCTCACTCCCTCAGCAAACCCCAGCCTGGAGAACTCCCACCATCAGCCCCCTTCACTCTAATTCACATGCTGCTGAATGGATCTACAGAAGTATGAGTTCAGTGATTCCTTCTATGCAAATGATTTCCATATTTCCATATAATCCAGCCCTAGTCTGTCTCCTGAACTCTAGTCCCACATCAGTCAGTCAATAAACAGTTATTAATCACCTACCATATACCAGGCACTATGCTAAGCTCTGGGGACAGAGAGGCAAAAGACAGTTCTGGTCCTCAAGAAGCTCACCATCTCATGGGGGAGACAACAAGCAAACAAATATGTACAAACGAACCACAGGAAAAATAGAAATAATTTAAAAAGGGAAGACAATAGAATTAAGAGGGTACTCAAAGGAAGACAGAAGTCAGTAGGTGAAGATGAGGAAGGTGAGAATTCCAGGCATAGGGATAGCCTGAGAAAATACCCGGGGCCAAGAGATGGAGTGTCTTGTTCAGGAACAGCAAGGAGGCAGGTGGCACTAGATTGAAGACTGCTTGTTGGGGAGTAAAGTGTAATAAGACTGTAAGAGGGAGGGTATGAAGAACTTTGAATGTCCAACAGAAGGTTTTATATTTCATCCTGGAGGCAACAGAAGCCATTGGATTTGACTGAGTAGGGGAGTGACTTATGCTTTAGGAAAATCATTTTGGTGGCTGAATGGAGGATGGACTGGGGTGGGGAGAGGCTTGCAGCAGGCAGACCCACCAGCAGGTTATCATGATAGTCCAAACATGAGGTGATGAGGGCCTTCACCAGGGAGGTGGCAATATTGGAGGAGAGGAGGCGTATTTGAGAGATGTTACAGAGATGAATTCAGCTGACCTTGGCAACAGATTGGATCTGGAGGGATGAGATACTGAGAAGTCAACGATGATGCCAAGGTCACAAACCTAGGGGTCTGGGAGGATGGTGGTACCCTCAAGCAGTAATAGGGAAATTGGGGGACTAAGCAGAGAAAGGTTTAGAAAGAAAAACAATGAAATCAGTTTTGGAAATTCTGAGATTAAGATGTCTACTAGACATTTAGTTTGAGGTGTCTTAAAGGCATTTGAGATGCAGGATTGGAGGTCAGCAGAGAGATTAGGGCAGGATGGGTAGATTTCAGAATCATCAACACAGAAATGGTAATTAAATCTATGCGAGCTGATGTGATCACCAAGTGAAGTAGTATAGATGGAGAAAGGAAGAGGACCCAGAATCCTGTGGGACATCTCCAGTTAGAGGACATAACCTGGCTGAGGATCCAGCAAAGGAGACTGAGGAGTGGTACGACAGGAAGGGGACTAGGAGAGAATAGTGTTCCAAAAACCTAGAGGGAAGAAAGTGTCAAGGAGAAGAGGGTAATCAATAGTGTTAAAAGCTGCAGAGAAGTCAAGAATGAGGATTGAGAAAAGGCCATTGGTTTGACAATTAAAAAATTATTGGTAACTCTGGAGAGAGAAGTGTCAATGGAATGATGAGGGCAGATGCCAGATTTTAAGGATTAAGAAGTGAGAAGAGAGAAAGTAGAGGCACCTAATATAGACAGCCTTTTCAAGAAGTTTGATTATAAAGGGCAGAAGAGATATAGGATGATAGCAGAGATGGAAAGATCATGTGAAGGTTTTTTCCAGGATGGGAGCGACATAGGCATGATCGTAGGCATTAGGGAAGAAATCAGTAGACTGGGAGAGAATAAAATAAGTTAGAGAGTGGGATGACAGAGGAGGGGACAATCTGTTGGAGGAGATGGGATGGAATGTATTGCTTCTGCAGGTGGAGGGGTAAGACTTGGTAAGGAGTAAGGCCACCTCTTCATGTGAGACAGGGGTGAAAGAGGAGATACTGGCAGAAGGCACCTGAGTGATAGCAGATGAAGAGGAGAGAAGAGGGAGTTCATGGCAAATTGTCTCAGTTTTTTTTCTGTAAAATATGACGCAAGGTTCTCAGATCAGGGGTAGGAAGGAGGAAGAGGCATGGGAAGTTTGAAGAGGTTTGGAAGAGCCTTTGTGTGGTATAGTGAGTTGATAAGGCAGGTTTAAAAGGCTTGCCTGGCAGTAGTGAGGGCCCAGTTGAGGTCATATAACACCTTTGTAGTGGACCCAGTCAGAACAGTTAGTTGTATAATTTTCTTCACCTCCATTCAGCACACACGTGTAGGGGCCAAGGCGAAGGGTGGTGGAAGTCATCCAAGGCTGAAGCTTGGCAGGGTGCAATCAGTGATATGACAAGGGGGCCAGGGACTCCAGAGAAGAGGACAGTAGAGAGTTGAACTGGCTTATCTATGTGTCAAGATGGTGAAAAAGAGGAGAGAGTGGCTAGTGCAGGGGAGATGGCCTGGCCTGGGAGAGAATTGAGGACTCAAGGGATTGGAGGTCATCAGAGGTCATCACCACAAGCTTTTAGGACATCTCTACCTGGATATGACTAAGGCATTTCAAATTCAAATTCAAATAAGGGGCAGTTGGGTGGTGCAGTGAGTAGAGCACCCCTCTGAAGTCAGGAGGACCTGAGTTCAAATCCTGTTTCAGACACTTGACACTTACTAGCTGTGTGACCTTGGGCAAGTCACTTTATCCTGATTGCCTCACCACCCCCCCAAAAAACACCTATATATCCAAAATAGAACTCATTATACACACACACACACCTACCTATTCCCTTCCATCTTCCCAACTTTCCTATTACTATCAAAAGCATTACTGTCCTCCCAGTCACCCAGGCCTAAATCCTGTATATCGTCTTTAACTCCTCAGCGTGACCCCACATTTCTAGTTTCCTGTCAAACTCTGTTATTTCTACCTTCTCACCATCTTTCATATATGTCTCCTCCCCACTTAAGCAGCCACCACTTTGGTCTAGGGCCTAGACTCTAGGCCCTCATCTTCCCTCTAGCCTAGACTATTGCAATAGCTTTCTAATTTTTCTCCCTGCTGCAGGTCTCTGAGTGGACGATGGGTTGGAAGGGAGAGTGGTGAGTTTCCTAAAACGAGGTTCTTACCACATCAGCCCCTTCCCCTCAATGCACTCCAGTGATTCCCCGTTCCCTCCAGGATCAAAATAAAGTCCTCTTTTTTCCACAGTGAAAGCCTCTAACAACCTGGTCCCTTCCTAGATGTATAGTCTTGTTACATTTAACTCTTGTCCATCCATTCCACAGCCCAGCTACACTGGGTTTCTTGCCAGTCCTTGGACACAACACTCTTGCCTCAGTGCCCCTCCACTTGTGCCTCTCATGCCTTTCTCCTTGCTCCTCTGGCTTCCTTCAAGCTCAAATGCCATCTTCTGCAATAAGCTTTTCTCTCCCTCCCTTCCTCTCCCACCCCCACCCCTCCTCTCTCCAGTCTGTCTGTACTCTGTACACATTTTGTATATATATAGTTATTTATATCACGTCTTCCCCATTAGGATGGGAGCTTTTTGAGGGTAGGGACAATGTTTTTGCCTTTATTTTTATCCCCAAGGCTTAGCAAGGGGCCTGGTACATTTTAATCACTTAACAAATGTTGGCCTATTCCTTTAGCGTTCATTTTTTACTCACTAAAATGTCAGCTGGCAGATGAGTTCTCAGACTCAGATTTCAGCAGACTCCTCCTAGATCACCTGTGTGGTACCAAAATAACTTTTTAATTTGGCCCGTCTCCCTTCAAAAGAAAGATAATGGATCACACTTAAAAGTAATGTGGGTGTATAACCTATATCAGATTGCTTTTCATCTTCAGGAAGGGGATGGGGAGGGAGAGAAGGAGAAAAATTTGGAACTCAAAATTGTTCAAAAAATGAATGCTAAAAATTGTCATAATATGTAATTGGAAAAAATAAGATATTATTAAAGAAATTAATTTTTTAAAAAAGAAAACTAATGTGGGAAATTGTTCATCAAAGTTTTATGTGAGGAAATTGAGAGGACGTGTCCATTGTACTGTAGAAGAGAAACAATAATACACGCATATAATTGGATTTCGCAATATCTTATTATTTATCATATAAAATGTAAAAGGCATCTTGGATTTACAATGAAAGCACACTAAACCCACATTTTCTGAAATAAGACCTTTTACAACAAATGAATGAATTCTTTTCACTTCTGTAGTCAGTCAACCCGTCCCACTTGTAGAACTGGGAGCAAGAGCTCCTTTAACCCTTCAGTGTCTCCAGAGATAGTGTGGAAGGGGCAAGGGTACATTCAGACGGATTCGTAGTCTCTTTGCCAGGCTGAATATTTCTGAATCAAATTCTTGACAGAAGGTTTGGTGTGAGCCATCACATCCAGAAAGTCTGCGGTAGTCACGGTGTCCAGCCGGATGGCATGTAAATTGCTGTTCTCTAGATAAAAACATAACAATAATCGACCTGATGTTGATCAATGCTGTCAAAATGCTAATAGGCCTTCTATCAATGCGATACATACATAATGTAGCACACTTAATGGTTAATGCAGCGAAGCACAGAGTAAATAGAGGAGGAAAGGAGATTCTTAATGTGAGATTGAGTCTTCTTAATGTGAGATTGAGTCTAGCCTCTGAAATCCCGACCCAAAGGTGACCTAAATGTAGCTTTAGCAAAACATTATGTAATATTTATATAGTGCCTTAAATGGACAGCTCAATGTAAAACGGAATTTGCAGAAGGAACAGAACTCTGGGCCTTCGGGTGTTTATCATTTGAAAGCAAACACGACAAGATACTAAAACAATGTGCAAGGAGCCCAGAGCCCCCAGACCTTTCAACAAGGCCCATGTTGCAAGTCTAGGCCAGGGACGGGAGCCAGGCTCCACCTGCTGGTGAGTGTTAGAGTAGGAAACATAAAACGACTATTGTCTTCATAAAGCTGCTCACATACCTGAATGGAGATTTTCAAGTGCATTAAAGATTTTTCTCACAGATCGCATGGCTGCTTCCTTGCAGACTAGCTTGATGTCTGAACCAGAGTAGCCTTCAGTTTCCTGAAGCAATAACAAAACAAGCCATTATTTCACCCGCCATATACGTCCATTTTCCTGGATGCTCCCTGTTATGTGTGTTGAATGGTCCCTGATTTTCCCTCTGTTAATACTTTGTACATACTTAGAGAGCTTCCTGCGACTGATACTTCTGAGCAATTTACAAAGGTTTGCAAGAGAATAATGAATGTCATGGTTTGATAAATGGATGAATTAGAGCATTAAACAACTTTCTAACATCTCAGGAGATTTTGTCTCACCCTCACTGGTGGGATAAATTGCCGGTAAAACTTGGAAGAAGGTGGGGCTCCCTAAGAGTAATCTGCTGTAGCTACTAAATGTCTTATTCTACATAAAACTCTGTCTGACAGGAATCAATACTCAAGTAACACCTGTCACTGGTGCTCTCCAAACCTGGAGAGGAAACCTCTCCATCCCATCTCTGCTGCTGAAATCCTTCTTCCAGGTCCAGTGCAAGCACCATCTCCTCCATGACACTTTCCCTTGTCCCTCCAGCTGGAGAAATTATATTCCTTCCTTGGATCTCTCAGCCTACTCAGTTCAACCTCTCCCCTGTGTACTTAATCATTCACTAAGTTTTATCATAGTCTTTACATATAGTTATCGCTGAAAACTCCTTGAGGATAGGGACTATCTTATTTCATTGTTCACCCTCCAGTACAGCACCTCTTACATTAGTGCCAGAGAAATACTGAACTTCGTTTCAATCCTAGGCCCCCGAAGGAAACTTTGCAAGGAGGATCTCCTCCAGTCAGTCAATCTACAAGCATTTATGAAGCACCTACTATGTGCCAGGCACTGTGCTAAGTGTTGGGAATTCAAAGAAAGGCAAAAAACAGTCCCTGCCCTCACAGACTAAGGGAGAGACAACGTGAAAAAAAGTATATACAGGATAAATTAAAGATAATATTAGAGGATAGGCCCTAGAATTAAGGAAGATTGGGAAAGGCTTCTTGCAGAAGGCAGCCTTAGCTGACTTGAAGGAAGCTAGAGATGTAGAGAGGAGGAGAGAGCGTATCCTAGACATGAGGAACATCCAGGAAAAATACTGAGTATGGAGATGGAAAGATATGGGTGAGGAAGAGCCAGGAGGTCAGTGTCGCTAGATCGTAGAGGGGAGCAAGGTGGAAGAAGACTGGAAATGTAGGAAGAGGCCAGGTTACCAGTGGTTCTAAGAACCAAACAAACGATTTTGTATTTGATCCTGGAGGTAATCTTGGAAGAGCCACAGGAGCTGAATGAATAGAGGGGTGACATAATCAGATCTGTACTCAAGGAAGAACCTTGGACAGCTGAGTGGAGGATGAACTGGACTGGGGAGAGACTGGTGGCAGGGAGCCCCACTGGCAGGCTGTTGCAATAGTTCAGGCATGAGGCGGTGAGGGCCTGCACCAGAGTGGTGGCATTGTCAGAGGAGAGAAGAAACAACAGGACTTGGCAGATGAATCGATATGGAAGGTGAGAGTGAGTGAGGAGATGAGGAGGATATTTGGGTTTCAGGCCTGAGGTAACCGGGAGGACAGTGGTATTCTCTACCAGTAATAGGGAAATTAGGAAGAGGAGAGGGCTTGGTGAGGTGGAGATACTGAGGGGGCAAAAATACTGAGTTCAGTTTGGGCATGCTGAATTTAAGATACTGATGGGACATTCAGTTCAATATATCCAATAGTCAGTGGTAGAGGCAGGACTGGAGGTCAGGAGAGAGGTTAGTGGTGGACAAATAGATCTGAGAATCATCTACACAGAGATGATCATTAAACCCGTGGGAGCTGATGAGACCACCAAAAAAAAATAGTATGGAGGGAGAAGAGGAGCAGGACAACCTATCGCCTCCAGAAATTCCCTTGTCAAGTAATGTCCCTAGAATACTGCTACCTCTCATGGGTCTCCAAGCTGTGCTGGGAGTGCTTGAATAGAAGCTGCACCTATAGCTTGAGTACCTGACATTTTCCTCATACCTAAATCTGAAAGGGAATCAAACACGAAGAGATCTTTGCCCCAGCCCTCCCAACTAAACAAAATCAACCCTTCCCTTTGATTTAAACCTCCTGGAACTGGAAGGAATCATCTCGTCCAGGCTTCTACCTAGTAGAAGAATCCCTCAGAGATGGCAATACTGGTTGGGCTTTAATATTTTCCCCACCTTCAAGCTTTAACTGGCTATGTTGGCAAGATCCTGGCCAAGACAACCATGTTTACTTGAGACCCTGGGGAGGCCGACCTTATTTCCTTAAGCTCAGGTGCTGAGCTAGGCCTGGTGGTTTAGAGAACAGAGCTCACTGTGTAACGGTGGGGGTGGGGGAAGTTGGCTGTCACCTGGCTCAGCAGGCCATACTCCAGATCAGCACGGAGCTCTACGCCACCGCTGTTGCTCACGGCAGGCAGCCAATGGCAGATCATGGCCTGTCTCGCCTCCTTGCTTGGGAGATCCACCAGAATCCTCTTCTCCAGGCGGCGTAACATAGCACAGTCTAACTCCCTGGAACATCATCAGAAACAGAAGTAAGATGGCAGAAGTGGAAGTTTCCCAGACAGGTATGATGTCTTAAAGGTGGTCCAGTACTACTTTCCTGCAGGAAGTTACTTTGCATGTTAACAATTATTCAACGTTTCTGCCTGGGTGAGCAATATAATACTTATTTTCAGGCTGACTGGGGAGAAAGAATTGGTAAAAAATAAGTGTGTGTATGTATATGTGTGTGTGTGTGTGTGTGTATTTATTTGTTTGTTTATTACAAATACCATTAAGGTGATCTGAGGTATCCTTCACTGAGGGCTAAGCAAAGCTGGGATTAAGGTAAGACTACAACCCTAACACACTAGCATTTCTGCCATAGGCATGATGTATTTTTTCAGTCAGAACCTTTTAGCTGGTGAATTACTCCTGAAAATAACTTAGGCACTTTGGGAAATTCAATAGGCATTTCAATTCTTAGCAAACTCTTTAGTGAATGGAGAAAGCGCTGGATTTGGAATCTGAGGACCTGATTTCAAATCCCACTTCCACTACTTGTTAGTTGTGTTGTCTTGACCAAATCACTTCCCTGGATCTCAGTTTCCTCATCTGTAAAATGAGGGGCTTAGATGATCACTAAGGAGGCACTAGTCTTCTCAGCAATAAAATGATCTCAGACAATTCCAAAAGACTCACGATGGAAAATGCTCTCCACATCCAGAGAAAGAACTATGGAATCTGAATGCAGATGGAAGCATACTATTTTCTCTTTTTTCTTTCTTCCTCAGGGTTTCCCCTTTTGTTCTGATTCTTCTTTACAACATGACTAATGTGGAAATATGTTTAATCTGATTGTACATATATAACCTATATCAGATTACATGCCATCTTGGGTTCCTCCCTCAACCCCAAGTTCCAAAAAATTGGAACTCAAAATCTTATAAAAGTGAATGTTTAAAATTGAAAAAAAAAATTTTAAATAATGGTAGAAAAAAAAAAGGAGGTAGCTAGGTGGTACAGTGGTTAATAGCGCTGGACTTGGAGCTGGGAAGATCTGTGTTCAAACACCACTTCAGACACTTACCAGTTGTGTGACCTTAGGCAAAGTATTTAACCTCTCTCAGCTTAGGTTTCCTCATTGGTAAAATCGGGATAATAATTCCAACTACCCCCACAGGATTGTTACGAGAATCAGATGAGTTAACATATGTACAGCACTTTGGAAACTTTAAAGCACTATGTAAATGTTATTGCTGGTATCAAAAGTCTTTTACAGCTATAAATGTTAAGGTTACTATAAACTGCCATGCTGCCAAACTTTGCAAGTGGCCTCTAAAAGTTTAATGCCTCCCTAATGAATCCATTACAAATACAGATTTTTAACCCAGGCTTTTCCTGAAACATAGATCACATTTTCTGCAATTTTTATGTGCCAGTACATCTTTTGAAGTGTACATCTGCGTAACCCTGGTCTGTTTTCAGTTGTGAGTTCTGGAAGTGCAGGAGCCACCTGTCATTTATTTATTTATTTTTGGGGGGATACAGTGCCTTGGTGCTCAGTATTATTTAATGATGATGAGTAATTCAATAGAATAAATATCCTTTGGCAATAACACTGACAGGTCTATACCTCCACCTCCAAAAGAGTAAGATATATTTTAAAAGTAAAACTGCTATCAAAAGGAAACTCCCTTAAGGTAACCCACACAGGAAGTTGTTATATTTTTGTAAACAAAGAACAAAGGCTGTTCCATGCCCTACTACATACTCCCAAGCCCACCCTGGGTTCCATGCTACTGAACCAAAGAAAGTTAGCAGTTAACTGTAGGTGGGGTGGCCTTCACAACTACCTCAAAGTCTACCACAGGTGCTGGTTTTGTCTGTTCCCCATGTGATAGCACCTACTGAACTTAAAAAAAAAAAAAGGTATTAAACAGCTGCAGATGGGGTAATCAGTGAGCCTCACCGGCCATCCATAGTGGAATCCTCCCTTGACAAAGAGTGCGTAAGAGTCCTCCATCCTTCAACAAGGGGAGTTAAGAGTTGAGTCACCATGATGGTGTGGGGAAACCAGCAGAAAGACTGAGAAATAACCAAGGAAAGGACAACTCCTAATGCCATGAAGAAATACTGTAAGATAAGTAAATTCCAGGACAAAACTATAGAAGAAGAATAATTCTTCCACAACTAAAACTGGAACCCCAGAAATGACAATGGAATGATTACTAAGCTCCAAAGGAGACAAGAAGATCTCACTAAAAATTGAAGGAAGATAAAGGAGTTGAATAGACAACTGAAAATAGAAGTTTCTAGAAGACTTTAGCAATATGTTGGGCATCTTGAAAAAAGAATGGAAGAAAACAGAATTTAAACATTCAACAACATCAAGACATGTTAAAGCAAAGTTAAAAGATAGCAAAACCAGAAAAAATGTGAGATCAAAAACCTGAAAAAGGTTACAGAGAGGTAACTTAAGAATCATTTGGCTTCTCAAAAAACCTAATTAATTTAAAAATTTGAGTCAATATTTTAATAAATCATAAAGTTGCCCAAAAATATTGGAACCAGAGTAGTGACAATATACAGAATCCACAAGTTATCAACAGGGAGAAACCCCATATATGACATAATGAGAAATGTGATTCTATGTATACATTTCCCAAGTCAAAGGAAAATAATACAAATGACCAGGAAGAGACAGACTACATACCAAAGAAGCCCTTCAAAACTGCAGAGCACTACTCATTGATTATGAATAGGACTAGATGGTTTTTGGGGTTCCTTCCAACTCTACATCTATGATTCTAAATTTCAGAAAATGGCTATTATTGTCTCCTCCAAGTCTTCTCTACCCTGGGTTAAACACCCTCAAGTTCTTCAACTTACCCTTTATGGCATGGTTTCTAGTTCCCTCACTACCTTAGTCACCCTCCTTCAACATCCAGAATTGAACACTGTACTGCTGATTCGGTCTGACCAAGTCAGAATACATGGGTACTACCGCCTTCCTCATATTGGAAACCAAAGCTATCATAGTTATTTTTTACTGTCTTGTCACACTGCTGCCTAACATTGATATAGCAATGCACTAAATCACCCATATTTTTTCTCTTCCAATGACTGCAGTCTAGCCTCATTTTCCCCCAAATGTACTTATGTTAATTTTTTTAAATCAAAGGTAGGATCTTACATTTATCCCTTCCTCATTTCATTAGATTCACATCATTGTTCTAGTTTGTATCAAGAGTTTTCTGCATGTTTCACACACTTACCCTATCTTTTTAAATTGAAGATATTATATAAAATTTTTAACCTGTCTTTGATGACTTAGGGTCAATTTATGAATATAAATTTTTATACTTGAAAGATCTTTTATTTCTTCCTTCTACCATCATACACACACACACACACACACACACACACACACACCACAGCTCCTTCATAACCAAAAAGATTATTTTTAGGAGTTGCTTTGGCTGAAAAATTTGTCACCCCAAGGCCAGAATAATGAGCTCCTCAAACTGACCTAGGCTGGTCCCTCAGACCAGAACACATAGTCAATTGTGAGGTACACATGTGAAGCCTTTGCATATTGATAGGACTGGCCAGAGTTTGTTTTCTCCTAACATAGCCTTGCACATAATAGGTGATTAATAACTATTTGCTAAATTGAGTCAAGAATGCCAGGCTCACCCTAAGCTATGGTAAAGCACCTTTGACTTTTAACTTTTGTAGTACACTATTAATGTGTGTGTTCAGGGCTGTTTGTCCTTTTGCTAAATACTACAATGGTTTGAGTTCTTATGTCCACTAGTTCAAATTTTTCTGTCTCTTCATTTCCAGGCAGACTAAACTGTGGGCCAGTAAAGCAGCTTCATAGTTTGTTAGTATCTTGTCTAAAGAAAAATATCAATAGATCAAGTTTGAACATGTAGACCTTAGTTAGTACATAGATTTTGTAAAAATCTATTTGTGCTACTCAAAGGCCTTCTCCCCTTCTTTTCTAGTTTTCTATTCTGTTTCAAACAGAAGACTGAGGTGTCACTCTACAGTCAGTTACAAGCCCCCTCCATGAGGGCCCTATTTGATGTTCTTGGCTCTAAATAACCAACTCTCTGTAGGGTAGAAAAGTTACAACACGCCCAAATTCAGAGCTGTCATAAATCCCTCTGAAAGTAAGGCTAAAAGAAAACCAACTTGCTGGTTTCTGGTGACATGAAAGCCCCCATGTTTGTGCCAAAGGTGCAAACCAGAACAATCTGTCACATAAAGTCTGGGCCCTGATCAACATCAGAATGACACCTAGTGTGCAAAGACTTTTGGGAACCAGGAATTTCATTCATTCATCATCCATCCTTCATTCATTTAACAGCATTTGTTAAGGGCCTTCTATGTCCAATCCACTTGTAAACACTGGGCATATAAAGACAAAATTTTAAAAATTAAAATTTTTTTTTTAAATTTAAAAAGTCCCTTTCTTCAAGGAGCTTACAAGCAACTGGGAAGATACAGTAGAATTAGTATGTACCAGTGCAGAAAGAGCAGGATTCAGAGACTAAGGCACTGGATTCAAGGCTAAATTCTCCTCCTTAGAATCACAGGATGTCAGATTTAGAGCTGGAAGGGACCTCGAACATCATTGGAAAAGTGAACTGAGAAACTTACATCCTCAAAGGACAGGAAGAGACTGCTGTCCCTTTGGAATTCCACCATTTCTAAGAGTCAGTAAAAAAAAAAAAACAACAACAAGGTAACATACCTCGTGAAGGAAATAACCTAGGAAAGGAGAGGGGAAAGAATGTTTGGATTTAACTATTTCTTGTTTTGAGGTGTTACAGGAGATTTACTGCTCAAACACGGAAGTGCAGAGTGGAGAGTGAAAAACTTCATAAATCTTAGGCTTATCTGTACAAGACAAGAGAGGGTTTTGAAAGAAAAAGTCAAAACAATAGAAAGATTACAGAGATAAAAAACATCCTTAAGTGGGAGACTGGAAGTTGTATAAGGAAGAAGAAGGAGGTTAA